TAAATGGTCATTCTTATGGGTGGTCCGTTCTAGGAGAGAGCACAAACGTTAGTATATCCATCAAAGGAAAAATCCATCAGAAAATCCATAAAAAAATATTAATCAGAAAATATCCATAAAAAAAAATATGAAATTTCTGGGGGGCGTGGCCTAACCTCAGACGAAGATGGACGCCTGATCCTAACGCTCCGATCCCCCCATGCGCTATATCCCCTGCCATCTGCATCCCTCACACCACGGAACAGCCTGCCCTCATACCAGCCGCAACCCCAACACAGCCGACACCCGTCCTGACCGGAAAGAAATGGGCGGCAATAAGAAACGGAGGGACACGAACCCCTCCGTGGCCTCCATATTCCGCACGCCAGCAGATCAAAGGAGAACAACCTCCTCACAGGCGGAAGAGGAATCCGAGTCAGAATGAATGGATGAACTCCAGGGGCTAACCCAACCAGACAGTAGCATACCTACTCGAACCCCAGAACCCATACGTGACAGACCATGACAACACCGATAGACACCCATAAAGTCGAAAAAGAGGACACCCCACGACTGACCCGGAGGAAGCTCCCCAAGCCTACCCCCCCCTACGAAAACGCAATACCACAAAGTCACCGACACAGACCTCCACTGACCAGGTCAGGACACCCCCAGACACCCCCCCAACCCAGACAAGACAGACGAGTTAACCCATTCAAACCGGACCCGTTACTGGCATTGAACTGTTTTATAGTTTACTGTTCGCACAAATGGTATGCATGTGATAGCTCCGGACCTGAGTACACACTTATGGCTGAAATGTTTTAAAATGCTGTGAATTTTTTTATTATGCCTTCTTTATTATGTTACCTAATGTTTTCTACTACTTATGATAGCAACCGAGAACACGATCCTTGAAACAACACTCACAGGACTACAGACGAGGACAACAAGAGACATACTCCAAACACCAACGGAGGGACCACGGCCGGCACCTTACACTACAGATAGACACCACCGCACCGCCAAATCGTGAGTGCTACACCACACCTAGCGCGGGGGGGAGAGGAGTAACAGGAACGTGAAACTCTTCCTCCTCTTCCCCACCCACGAACCCCGGGCATCCCGGGTGACACCAACCACACGACCGACCCAAGGTGTAAAACACCGCCCCCCCCACTTTACCTGGCAACTACCACATAAGACCAGGATAGACACTTTGTAACCCAAACCTCCCGAACTATATAATCCTCACCCATCCCCATACCCCACCACCCACTCTCCACCGGAGCCCCCCCAGTAGGAGCGGACGGACGCCCCGAGAACCTCCTGGACCCGAAGCCCACATCACACCAATAGAATGCCTACTAACAAACCACCACCACATCCACACACAGCCATGCCAAACACAATCTCCTGCATATCCATTAACTGCAAGGGACTTAACAATCCAGCCAAGCGACATCGCACACTACGCTGGGCCAATAGAATGAAAGCAGACTTAATCCTCCTCCAGGAAACTCATTTTGAGACGAAAAAACCCTTTCCTCTAACCAACAAAAACTACAAACAATGCTACCTAGCAAACTCGCCACAGGGCAAACAGAATGGGGTGGCCATCATGGTTCATAAACACTGCCCGATCACAATTCTGAGAAGCCTCCCAGATCCCCAAGGGAGATACTTGACGGTCACAGGACAATTTGCCAACCACAAGTACGCGATTACTACAGTCTATGCCCCAAACATACCCGAACCAACTTTCTGGACGGCACTACGCACACAACTAAAACTGTTCCCCTCACACCACACCATCCTAGGCGGAGACTTCAACGCAGTCCTAACCCCATCTATAGACAGGAAGAGCACAGAGAGAAACAAATCATGCACGCCCCCCACCAGGAAAAATGACAAGCTCCTTCTGGAGTTTGTCAACCAAACAGGCCTCCACGACATATGGAGACTCCAACACCACACAACCCCGGACTTCACCTTCTACTCGCACCCACACTCTTCTTACTCCAGGATAGACCTCTTCCTAATATCCCCCTCTCTAGTACCTCACACACAATCCACCTCGATAGGTTCAATCACCTGGTCTGATCATGCCGAAGTTTCCCTCAACATAGATAAACCCCACACAGCCAAAGCATGGACTTGGAGACTAAATCCCACACTCCTACATAACCCCCAAATCAGACAAAAAATCCAACAGGAGCTCATAAACTATTTTGAGGTCAACACGGGATCAGTCCCATCCACGAACATACTGTGGGCAGCCCATAAAGCAACAATCAGGGGAACGATAATTAACGCAGCCAGCACCCACAGAAAACAAACACTCCGGGAACTGGAACAACACCTAACCTCCCTACGAACAATAGAAGCCAAACACAAACGCACCCCCTCTCAACCATTGCTCGACCAAATTAAATCACATCAACACGCGATAAAGTCCTACATGGCTAAAGACTCCCAAAAAGCACTACAATGGACCAAACAACTATACTATGAGAAGTCCAACAAGGCAGACACCCTCCTTGCGCGCAGACTCCGACATAAAACTCTCCAAAAACACATAGACAAAATCCGATCACCTGGGGGCAGAACCCACAATGACCCTGACCGCATAGCCTCCATATTCGCTGACTACTTCTCCAAACTATATGACCATAAACCCAACCACACCCCCACTCACCCAACGTTAGGACAGGAAATTCACAACTTCCTGTCGGAAATCCCCCTCCCAGCACTAACAAACCAAGAACGAGACACCCTCGCGTCGCCAATCACTGAAGAGGAAATAGCCCTCACAATAAAACACACAAAACCCAACAGATGTCCAGGACCCGACGGCTTCACGGGCCTCTATTATAAAACGTTCAGCGCCACATTGATACCCCATCTAACCGCACTCTGCAATTCTATATTGGAAGGCGATCAGGTACCACCAGAAATGCTCAAGGCCAACATATGCCTAATCCCCAAACCACACAAAACGCACCTAGACCCCGGACATTACCGCCCAATATCCCTCCTCAACACAGACATTCAAATCCTCACGAAAACACTGGCCAACAGAATACAACGTCTCCTCCCAAAACTCGTACACCCAGACCAAGTAGGATTTATCCCTAACCGTCAAGCATGCAACAACACCAGACGCACAATAGACTTAATATGGAGAGCCCAACATAGGAACATCCCCACCCTACTACTCTCGATGGACGCGGAAAAAGCGTTTGACCGCTTACTCTGGCCCTTCCTATTCGCCACCCTACGAAAATTCCACTTCCCCGACGCCATCATCACGGCCCTCACAACCCTGTACTCCAACCCCACGGCAACCCTCCTTCTCCCCAATTCACAATACGAAATGGAACCAGACAAGGCTGCCCGCTTTCCCCACTCCTGTTCACCCTCTCCCTGGAACCCCTTCTCCAACTCATTCGCATATCCCCCGAAATCCTAGGCCTCAAAGTCCGACAGGAAGAATATAAGATCGCAGCGTACGCAGATGATATCCTCCTGACTCTCACAGACCCCATTAACTCCCTGCCCCCCCTGCTCACACTCCTCCAAAAATATGCCTGCGTCTCTGGCTACAAACTTAACCTAGAGAAAACAGAAGCCCTTCCCCTCAACATCCCGCAACAACTCTTAACCCAAATAAAACACTCTCGCCCATTCCGATACAACCAACAAAGTATCCACTACCTAGGCACACACATCCCAGCGAACCTCTCCGAAACGTACCCACTCAACTATACCCCTCTGATCGAACAAGCCCAATTAGACCTACAAAGGTGGCAACCCATGCATTGCTATCCCATTGCAGGTCAAGCGCCACCCAAGCATGGATCCTAGGCAGTCACTAGGGCCTCTGGGAGGGCCAGGAGTCAAGCTGAGCATGCAGTCACCGAGCCTGTAAAGAGCCCCAGGCTGGCCGTGCAGCTTAGTCTGCAACGGCGTCCATGAGGGCGGACCGCACCGCCCGGGCGCAGCCTGAGGAGGGGGGCTGACAGGAGGGAAGCGCTCAGCGCTCCCTCCTGTCACTCCCTTTGCTGTAGCGTGGCCGAGCCCTGTATAGTCGGCGGGTACAGGGAGCATCTGTCTCCTGTACCCGGCCGGACTAACAGGAAGTGCACACATTGTGTGCACTTCCTGTTAGTCCGGCCGGGTACAGGAGACAGATGCGCTCCTCTGCACCACCGACTATACCAGCTCCTCGGGTCACAGAGAGGCAGGGGAGGAGGGGGTGGGGAGAACAAATCTGAGGGGAGGGGAGGAAGGGGTTAGAAGGAATTGTCAGGGAGGGGGGGAGAAGAAATCTCGAGTGGGGGGGAGAAGGAATTGTCAGGAGGGGGGAAGAACTGGGAGGGGGGAAGAATGAACTGTCAGGAGGGGGGGAGAAGAAATGAGGGGGGAGCAGAAATCAGCAGGAGGGGAAGAAAGAAACTGGCAGGAGGGGGGAGAAGAAACTGGGAGGGTGGGAGAAAGAAACTGGTAGGGGAGGATGGGAGAAAAATAATTTGGTAGGGGAGGGGAAGAAATGGGAGGGGAGGAAGAAAAATTGGTAGGGGAGGGGGGAGAAGAAGAAATTGGGAGGGGAGGGGAAGAAGAAAATTGTCAGGGAGGGGGGGAGAAGAAATTGTCAGGAGGGGAGAGAAGAAATGGGAGGGGAGGGGGGAAACAAGGAATTGTCATCAGGGGAGTGGGGGGGGGAGAAGAAAATTGTCAGGAGGGGGAAAGAAGAAATTGGGAGGGGAGGGGGAGAAGAAGAAATTGGTAGGGGGGGGAAGAAGAAATTGACAGGGGGGAGAAGAAGAAATTGGTGGGGGGAGAAGAAATTGACGGGGTGAGAGTGACAGGGGAGGGAGGGGCAATGAGAGTGGGGAGGGGAGAAGAGAGTGACAAGGGAGAGGGGGGAGAAGAGAGTGACAAGGGAGGGGGGAGAGATTGACATCCATCACACACACATGCAATGCACCCCTTGCACACAGAAAAACACACAATGCATTACACACACAGACACACACACAAACAATGCAACCCTTACACACAATGCATCCCTTACACACACACACAAACACACAATGCATTCCTTACACACACTCAATGCACCCCTTACACACACTCAATGCACCCCTTACACACGCACACACTGCATCCTGTACATACACAGAAACACACCTTGCAGCCCTTACACATACAAACACAGATTCACACAATGCATTCCTTACACACATATCAGGACATCCCCTACACACTCCACCCCCTGTGAACAAACTCATTGGTGGAACATGAAGGTGGACCCTGGGACCCAGACCTTGAGCTGTGTAAAGGGCCCCCAAAAAATGGAGCTGCTTACCGTTCTCCCAGAACATTGATTTTTGTGACCACAGTTACAAACAGCCTCCAGAGAGCCTGTTCTACACCAGACCAGTGGAGCCAGACTGCAGCTAGAGCCCATCATCATCCTCATCTCGTTGTAAGTAGGCAATCTAGTATATTATTCGTGGCACTAATCTCTAATTTACCTCACATTAAAGAAACACTATAGTCCCCAGAACCACTGCAGCTTAATGTAGTTGTTCTGGTGTCTATAGCCTGTCCCTGTATGCCTTATAATGTAAACACGGCGGCACTGCAGCACTGGCGTTAGTTAACATGGCAGATCATATGGGTGGAGCATTGTGATGTCACATGGGGGGGGGGGCGGCAAACTTTACTTTTGCCTAGGGCGGCAAAAATCCTTGCACCGGCCCTGCCTGGCTGGGCAGGATCGCATCCATAAAAATGAACCTCCTGCCCAAATTTTTATATCTGTTCCGGACCCTACCCATCCCCATCTCTAGATTGGACTTTAAAGCCCTCCAATCAAAAATAGATAAATTCATTTGGGCCGACAAAAGACCACGGATTAAACGGATGACAATGTACAAAACAGTTAAGACCGGAGGCCTGGGCCTCCCTGGGCCTCCCTAACCCCAACTAGCCCAAGTGCAACACCTGCACTCCCCCCCGGGAACAAAACTCTGGGTGGATCTGGAACACGACCTCCTCGGCAGAGACCACCCCTCCCTCCTCTTTTGGCTCCCAAAAAGAGACAGACCAGCACTCCCCCCGACAACACCCACCCTAACTACATCATTACAAGTCTGGGACAGAACCACCACACGATACCCCCTCATAAACTCCCCCTCACCACTTACCCCAATCCTCAGAAATAAACAATTCCCCCCAGGCATGACACCACGAGATTACGCACATTATGAAGACAACGGACTAATCAGACTCAGAGACTTCTATAGAAACCAACAACTAATACCATTCCCAGAACTCCCATGTACCACGCCACTGAACACCTTCGACCACTTTAGATACCTACAATTACGCAGCTTTCTAACAGAAACTCAGAATAGGAAAACAGCAACCACAACACTCACTCGATTCGAGACGAACTGCCTACAAGCTCCCACACACAAGGGTCAAATTTCCCTGATATACTCTCTACTAAACTCCAACTCCCCAGCAGACACACTTACATACACAAAGGCATGGGAAAGAGACATAGGCACACCAGAGGACCCAACAGTCTGGGCAAGCATATGGGAAGCAACCGCCTCACTTACCATATGCGTGAACCACAAAGAACAGGCGTACAAAACCATGCTCAGATGGTACCTAACGCCTCTAAAACTCAAACAAATGGGCATAGCCCAAACAGACACATGTTGGAAAAAATGTGGACAACAAGGTACATACATCCACATGTGGTGGCACTGTCCATACAGCTCGCAACTCTGGACTGAGGTTGCCAACCTCACCTCCAGAATATTGCACAAAGACATACCCATGGACCCTTGGACGTGGCTACTCTCAAAACCCCTACCCCGACTACCAAGGGCACAAAACAAACTGGTGACGAAAATAGCCCTCGCTACTAGACGCACCATAGCAGAGCAATGGGGTAACCATAACACACCCACACTAACAAAGATGATACAAAAAACTAATGAAACCATGGAAATGGACAAACTCTCAGCCATTCTACATGACACGACAAAACACTTCCACAAAACCTGGGACCCTTGGGTTATGAGGCACATAGTAGGGGTGTAGGACACGGGCCGGGGCGTCCGGCCGCTCCGTGACTTCCCTCCATCCCTCCCTTTCTCCCCCCCCCCCCCACTGCAGTCGCGATACCATATCCCCATACGCAAGCTACCCACAACATACCCAAGGCAGACTATACCCACAAAAAACACCGCAAAACCAAGATGACAAAAGACACGCTAACCACTCCTGACCACCCGAATAAGCCGCAGCTAACATCACAAACACAATACAGACGTACCCAAGACGATGCTACTAACAATAGAGACCAACTGAAACACATACAATTAAGCAACAAAACGGACCTGACGACCAAAGGAGAACGCACACCCTACACATATTCTGTAATACGGATGAGGGCTTGTGCCACTCCCTCATGTATGGTACTCTGGCAACACGCCGCTTTAGTGCATGCCTATAGCTGGTAACTACCACTACTTTAGAAATCAAACGAGAACCTTCACTGTCAAGACACTAATAAAACTGTGCCAACTCCTGAGGGTTGACGGATCCTAAAATCAGACTTACCGCCCAAGCAGTGACCTTCTCTGTGAGGGTGTAAACTCAATTGAATATACTGTGCCGCAGTACCCATAATTTTGGGTCCCCTCCAAGCGGCTCCACTACTTAATAATATCTATTGCACGCTGCACCATTATAGTGGTTATGTTCAACCACAACTAATGAGCTACTACAAATCCAGCGGCATGCCGAGACTATCTCTCCACTATTCAACACATCGTCAGGACATGCATGTCTAGCCTGAATAGGTACTTTCCTATACTGTTATTACCATACTACTGTGCCTTTACTATGTGTGCCATACTACAGTTTTACCATGTGAATAATGGACCAGCTTGCTCCTGCTGTTGTGGCATTGCAAGCATGTTTGATATATTATGCACAAAAAAAATAAAGAATTCTTAAAAAAAAAAAAAAAATATATGAAATTTCTTAGTATATATGTATATGAATAAAATAGTAAATGTATAAACTAGGGATATATTCCTAAGAGTATCTCATAGTGTCTAAATTCTATGGGATAGAAGGATGATGACACTAATAAAAAATGAGTAAAAAAAATAAAAAAAAATATTAAAAAATATATTAGGAACTGTAAACTTCAAAATACTATTAAAAATACTATTAAAAAAATATATATTTGTAAAAATATGAAAAAATACTAGTGAATTGGAAAAAAAACATAAAATACTAATAAAAATATTATAGAAATACTTTGAATTAGAGGAGGAGTATAATAAAAAGATGATGAATAAAAAATAGATGGATAAAAAGTTAAAGGAATGTGTTGAGTTCAAAGTCTATATTTAATCCCTTGGGGGCCAAAGTGTCCAGTTGAAAAATCCACTTGGCTTCTTTTTGGTCAAGGTTTCTTTCTATGTTGCCTCCTCGCCAATGTACATCCACTTTCTCTATGGGTAATAACCTAAGACCCGTAGGGTCTCCCCCATGGATCTCCTTAAAATGCTTTGAAAGATTATGAGTTAAAAGTCCTTTTTTGATATTTCTGATGTGTTCCGCAATCCGTATCTTCAATGGTCTTTTTGTGCGTCCCACATATTGTTTTGGACATGGGCATGTAATAAGGTAAATGACTCCCGAAGTATTGCAGCTCATGTTGTTTTTAATGTTATATTCTTCCTTATTATTCAATGCTGTGAATCTTGTGGTTGATGTTTCCAGAGAGGGATTGTTTCTGCATGCTATACATTTTTTGAACTGTTTAAAACCATGGTGGGATTCTTGATCAGTGGTGTGGCCGGAGGATTTAGTAGTGGGTGCCAGCATTAGTTGGAGATTGGGGGCCCTAGTGAATATGATCTGCGGTCTATTGTCCAGAATTTTTGAGTGTCGGGTCATTCATAAGGATTTCCCAATGTTTCTTTAGAATTTTCTGTATTGTGTGAGATTGATGGTTATATTTTGTGATAAAGGCTGGTGTAGAATTGTATGGTTCCAGAGTCTTGGTTTTAATGCAAAGAGTGTCTTCCCTTGATATAGCTACGGTCTTGTTCATGGCGTCTTGTAATAAGGTGGTGGGATATCCTTTGTCCATAAATCTTTCTTTCATCTCCTCCATCTGTTCCATGCAGATATCCATTTTTGAACAGTTACTTCTCACTCTCCTAAATTGGTTCTGCGGTATATTGCGTAGCCATGTTGGTTTGTGATGGCTATTAAAAGGGATAAAACTATTACAATCAACGCTTTTTTTAAAAAGTTTTTGTATGAATACTTCCTTCCTCAATAAAAACGTTAAGATCCAAGAACTCGATTTGTTCTCTCGAATAATTAAAAGTGAATGTAAGATAGGTCATGAATTTTTCTAGTGATTCCAAGTCTCCATTCCATATGAAAAAGCAGTCGTCTATATATCTGCGCCATAGGGACAGATTTGCGTCAAATGGGCAATTTGTCCATATGAATTCCTCTTCCCATTTGCCCATAAATAAATTTGTGTAGCTTGGCGCAAATCGTGTCCCCATGGCTCTGCCCTCTATCTGTAAGTAGAATTGACTGTCACACCAAAAGTAATTATGAGTAAGGATTAAAGCAATACATTCGACTAAAAAATCAATTTGATCATTCTTGAGTTCCGAGTATGTTGCTAAAGAATATTGTATTGCCTCACATCCTTGGAGATGTTCAATGACAGTGTAAAGTGAGGTAACGTCAGCGGTAACTAAAAACATGTCCAAACTGAAAATTATGTCCAAACTGAATTACATCCTACCTCAACTTTCTATCCACAACATGTCAAAAGTGACTCCATCAAAGTATTTGAGAAAATGGTAGAAAAAGACTTCAGAAATAAAATTACCAGTAAGATCACTAAGGATAACTTGACAAGAAAGGAGAGAAGTTCACTGAAACAACTTATGAAATCAGAGGATATCACAATCAAAGCAGCGGACAAGGGAGGTGGACTAGTCATTCTAAATACCGAGGACTATAATGAAGAAAATCAAAGACTTTTGGGAGACACCTGTACAACGATCCCACAACCCAATACCAAGATGAACTAAAAGAGATATTAAACTATGGGAAAGAAAGAGGAATCATCAACGAAAGGGAATCCAAATATCTCCTCAACAAATTTCCAAGGATTCCGGTGTTTTACCACCTACCTAAAATTCACAAGAAACTAGTGAAACCCCCTGGAAGACCAATCATATCTGGGATTGGGTCCCTTACAGCTAATCTCTCAGAATATGTCGATCATTATCTACAGAAACTAG